TATATATATATATATATATATAAGGTTTACTACAAAATTGATAGATCCATATAACGTCTGTATTAGGCCAGTTGACAGCTGACGGCGATTACTTGTATAAATACATCGTCCCTATTCAAGAAGGTTTAGCTGTAATAAGAAGGTTTTTTTTCTCCTTACCGCTAACTGCGAAGTTTTCTCAAAGGAAATTGTACAAACATCTTTTCTCGTGCTACATTTTTCTTCAGGTATCGATCGTTTCAGCCACATGTGTGAAATCGAGATTACTGCTTCCGTTATCGAGTTACACACAGTTTAAAGTTTTTTGGGCGGAACTGAAAGACATTTCCAGTAAAAATATCATGCTGCCATGTCTTTCCTTAAAAAAATAAATAAATAAAAAAATTAAAAAAAAATGTCTTAGTTCAAAGTTCTCGGTAGAATATACAAGGCCTAGGCTGGTAGCGGCCAAACAGTTGCGGCTGTACGATAAAGCATTTTATAATGATTGTTTTCCTGCACACTTGCGTAAACGAAATTCCTTGACTACAGAAACGGAGGATGAGAAAGGGCTAATTTGTCATAATTCTTTCAGAACACGGCATTTGGACAAGGACTAACGTAACTAACAAATTGGCGTTTCTATGACAACTTTCTAGTTGCGAGCAAATTTATAACCTTTCCTTTTTGCTAAGAAAAAACGTTACTTTAATCTACTATCACAACAAGTTCCTTGATAAAATTTCCCAGCCACACACCCAACAATTGCAATAGAATGGACCAATTCCCTCTATGAGACTTGCTCGCGAGGAATCATGAAATTTGTATTCATGAAAGCTAATATCCAGTCCGAGATGATGAATACAGCTACCATGATTTTCTACAGGCCCGTCTCGTAGCGGGAGTTGTTCATTGGCCGGTTAAATGTGAACGCAAGGCCTAATCTGCACCTTCAGAGATGAAAGGGTTGTAAGGCAGATTCACAGGGCCGGTTACCAAACAACTGAACACGGATTTTTCGAAACTATGAAACATGTTCCCCGTCCGATGATTCTAAGTTCTATTCTATTTCTCTCTGCAAAGCAAAAATCGCCTCTGGGCAACCCACGAGACGCAGGGCGTCACACACAGTTTTAATCGTTGCTCCCTGAGGGCCTTGACTGTCCTTCCACTCTAAAAGCCCCTGGTAACACTTTTCACCAACCGAAGCGTTCTTGTAGTCTTCATCCAAATTTCTTATGATCGCCTCTTCGATGGACAGTTTTCGAAGAACGAGCTTCCACTTGACTCCAACGTAGGGGCTAATACCACAGAGAAGGTTTTCTGTTACCGGCTTGTCATCGCTTAGGCCCAGTGATGTGAAAAAGTGGTCACATTGAACGTGTCCATTTTCTCTCGGAGAATCTAAAAAAACATAATAATCAACTATTAATATGTCATGCTCACTACATCTTGGATCAGCCTGTAAAAGCGGCTAGTGTATCAGTTCCTCTCTTGTAACATTTCAATGCATTGCCACTCGGCGGTATGACCTAGAAAAAGGCATATGTCTGAAATCTTTTACTCGTGAATTTCCTTTTCTTTCCTTTTTTTTTTTTTTCTACGCGCTCATCTCAGACAAATGGAACTACAACAACAAAAACTAAACAGCAGTCACATCAACAATGTTTTATAAAGACTGGTATGCAAATGATTTTGCGAACAAATTGTAATTATATAGAAAGCTGTTTTAATTATAGTTAGCGTCTCGGTGATCTAGCTGATGTAACAGTGATTGTCCAAGTTCGTTCGTAACTCCTCATGTCTGCTCTAGTCTTGTAGATCTTGTCTCGTCTCGTTTCGTTTCCTCTCATTTTCTTTTTCATGCGTTTTTGCTTGGACGTTCGCTCATGTCACTTGTTTGTTTGTTTGTTTGTTTGTTTTTTTACTCTATTTGTTAGGAAACAACATCACTATACTTGCATTTTCTCAAAGCTCTTTTAACTGGGATTCCTTGCCAAAGGGCTCGGGATATATCAAAAGAATGAGATATGTTTTCCGATTCTCTATAGGTGCTATTCGATAACCCATTTTCATTATGATGACAATTAAACCCTTGTTAAAAACCTGGTGATGATCGTCCTTCCTGATTGTGACTGTCACAGTCGTCATCCTCCTCTTCGGGCCCTGTCCAGGTGGAGCATCCAGCTATCGCATGGGTGTTTCTAGAAGCAGTGACGCTTAGGCCCCCTGCTGCGGGCTTTCGCCGGATACTCTGCCGCTATAAAAACAAGCATAAAAATAATGCCAAGTTAGAATATAATACCAATCACCTTCGTAGAGTAGGAAGAGTTGTTTAGCACTTCTCCGGAAACAATATTACATGAAACGCCAGCCTGCGCTACCTGCTGAAGTTGTCTCAAATTTCGGCTTTACCATTTTTATTCAAGTATACTGAATTTGCGAAAGTTTTTGAACTTTATCTGAAGTTTGTTTTCAAACAAGCCGGTGTGGAATGGGAATTAGCGTGATGTTTCCATAGCATCCTTTTTTGACAGGCCTGTTTATTTATTTTCTTACTTTTGATCTTTTATTGCCATATTTTACGTTAACGTTTGAGTTATATTTTTGTATTTTAAAGACGTTTTAGCATTGCTTAATTTGCTTAGTTGATTTGCATTTGATTTGAGTCATCTTTGGTGATGTGATTTCTTTCTCTTTATCATGTTAAAAAAGCAGGAACTTCCCAAATCGCGAATCCAAGATAGCGGCTGCTTGTCAACATGAAGTGATCACCCCGTGTTGCTTAATTGGCATTCTAGAAACTCTCTAACTTTTAATATCACTGCTAATCTATTATTAAAGTTAGTTAGGGGCCGGATTTTCCCTTCCTCCCACCCTGCTTATAAAAGATGTAGTATAGACCAAAATAACCCGGTGTTTTCGAGTTGGCTTTGACAGTAACGATTTCCCAACTTCGTGGTTCAAAATGACCAATCTAACCATTTTGGAAACATAGAGTTACACTTTCTGTCATCATGCCCCTGTTTCACGAATCACAATATAACCGAATCGAATCGAATCGAATCGGTCAAATTGACTCTCTAAGGCCAAGCTAACTCATCCCCCCACCGTGGTACAAGGAAAGGGGGTAGATGGAATCCCCCTAGGATTCTCATTCTCTTAGGGTAAAGCGAAATAAATTTACATTGATTAGATAGCCCCGAGCTTGCTCTACAAAATGATACCATTTTTGTTGGTTGTAACGTTATATGACGTTATTTGAGCCCATTCTTAGATCCATTATCTTGGATTTTACTATTTTCTTTAAAAGTCACTAAATAACGGAAATCAATACAAAATTAAGAATCGGAATGTTTATGAAATGTAAAAATTGGTGAATTTCTAGAATTTGATGAAGAAAACTGAAAATAAAATACATTAATATGTCCAAAAAGTTGATTTCTGGCCAAATCTACATGAAATTTGCGGTTGCGACGACAACGTATAAAATGATGGACGCACAATTGACATATCAATATTTCCACGAAGGAGATAATTATTGATCATGCAGCTACTGAAAGTTTGAGCCCCTTAGAGTACATCATCTTTACAAAACTTCGGAAAACTTTATGAAGGTGGCATCCACTTCCCTCCCTTCCCCCTTGTACATCCGAGGGTGAAAGCTGGCTTCCTCTACTGTAGCAGGTACTTTCCTCTACCTTCAAAGGCGTAAACCCTGGATTCAGGTATATTGAGTATTCTTGGTTGTAGCCCTCCTGTTGAAACTCCACCATACAAGAAAACCCGTTTACATCTCGACCATCCTCTGGTTTCACAGCAAAATCGCAGGCATTGTTAGAGCGAAATCCATTCCCACTGCCTTTCTCGTATTGGTATATCTACAAACGATAAGATATAACCAGCTGCTGAGTAATAACAACGTTTTTAGATTAAAGAAAGGTATCAATTTGGCTGATGTTAAAAATTGAGAGGAAGTCGATATCAAAGAGACGAACAAATCAATGGCTTTTGCTGTTTTTTCGCGGCTGTTAGGGGCTTTAAACTCCACGGGAGATTTGTTATGGGACAATTGAGTTAAGAAGAGAGCCAGGAGCCCAGTATTCCCTCGATTGTAATTGAATGGAACGTGTATTAAAAGGTGTCAAAGAAACGCAAAAGCCGAAAGATTTGGCCACCGTTACACCAACTTACTTCCCTTTTTCCAGGCAATAAACAGTGTATGCATTAAGACAAAGATAATATGTAAAATCCGTGACACAACGCCTTTGGTACCAGAAGCTGATTAACAACGAGTAAAACCAAAAGGAACCATAAGAAAATTTTTTTTGCCATCTTTGCCAGTTGTTCGCAGTGTTAGCATGGGCTGTTTTAGCAAAAAAAACAAAAATACTAACCCAGATGAACTGATGATCAGGTGGTCGTAAATTAAAGTGGCTACTATTCTATTGTTGTGGGCCGACTTAATTGCCCACGTGTGAGGCTAAGGAATCCTCCAGACAAATACCACATCGACTGTGAGTCTTAACATGATCACGTTTTGGATTAAAAGACATAGTAAATTACCTGCGTATCGTTGGTCTTGTCGAATTCCCATCCTTCTTCAAGCTTAGTGAGTTTTACTGTGATCACTTTGCTGTCACTGTACATTCTAAAGGGCTGCTCCCTGGCTACCCTCGAGTCAGGAAACCGTTCTCTATCTTTCAACTCCACGCGCTTGTGAAAAGAATAAGTAAATGAAAAAGATATTTAAGTGCGATACCAAATAAGTAAAGCCATTGAATGTCCTACAAAAAACATCTTGTACAAATAAGATCTGCAATTCTTTCTAGAGTAGTACCTTTTTATGCTCTTGTCATTTACTATCTTTGTTCAGAGCCGACTAATCCATCCATCCATCCATCCATCCATCTATTCACCCTATCTTATGTTATGCCTATCGTTCAATCGATCTCTTACCTTCTTAGAATCCTCGTTATCACTGTACACGTAGAATCGTAAGTAGATAAGGTCGCTTTTGGGATCCGGTCTGCTGGAAAAAACTGTTGCTCTCTTTCTCCTTGGCCCGCCACAAGCAAATATGCTCCAGAGTGAAAAAGTCT